CCAGAGATGCTGACGAAGATGATACGCAAAATGGACACATGGTCCAGCGCCTACACGTCGGTATTCCGAAGGGCGTTGGTGCTTCATGCGTCCATCTTCTCCATGCTGTGGTACGCAGCTACCATCTGGACGCCAGAAGACAACATGGTTACGACTCTCAAACGGCGAGCTACTGCTTACTTATGGACTGCGAACCCTGCTTCACAACACTTCATACCCAAGGTGGCTTGGTCACACCTTATCCAACCAAAGGGTAAAGGGGGATTGGGAGTCCTTGATCCGGTCACTCGAACCAAGGCCCTTCAAACGGAGTGGATTGTCAAACTGCTGCTACAACAACGACTGCCCTGGACCATGATGGCCCTGCATAGGATCAGACAGCTACCCAAAGCCACCACTCCACCCAACATGCAAGGCCTCTTCTGGATAATGTCGAAATCCTGGGCGACCCGCAGCATTGCCCACCAGAGGGACCAGCAACAACAGCCATCGCCGCCGACCCGCTTGGAGTACTGGATGTATCTCATAAGAATCTGGCGAGAGATCTTCCCAGCCAAAGTTCGAAGCCCAACCATCAGAGAGGAAGTCCTGCAACAGCCCCTCTTTTACAACCACTGGCTGAAAGACCCAGCTGATAAACCATGGACCCTGATGACACAGGATACCCGCAATTTCAAGTGGCTGGAATGGGGAGTCTGGCAGATTCAACACATCTGGAACCATCATTGCAATCGCTGGAAGACAACCGCGGAACTGAGAGTATCTCTCAAAGGTTGTCACAACTTGGAGTCCAACAGGCAGGTGTTGTTACAATCCATACCACCGGACTGGGTGGCACTCTTAAAGCCCCCCTTCGCCTGGACATCCGGGGAGTGGGCCACGTGGCTGTCAGAAAACAACCCAACAGGACCGACAGGGGACTGGGGACTGTGGACTGTGGACCTGTCGGTCCTGTCACCCAGGATTTTGACATTATCCAGAAGAGGCCTTGCATGTTGGCTTGACGTATGACAATGGATCAAGTGGCATTGTCAGTACGTCAAGCCAACAGAACCGACAGGGGACTTGGGACTGTGGACCATTCATGACATCGAGCAGCCAAAGAACAGCATCAGCAGAGTTTCAAAAACAGTACGCGCCAGGGTCACGGCCAAACCGTCTCTCCTCAGAAAAGTCAGTGGTGGAGGACGACAACTACAGAACCATCCAGCCAGGAATAGCCTTCCAGGATTTGGAGTTTGACCCGGCAGAGTGGGCTTGGAAAACAAGATCCACGCCAATGGGGCCACAGAAACACACCAACATCATAGACTACTCGACTAGTTTCGGCTATAAACTCAGACAAAAACCGGCAAACACTGATCTCATCCTGTCCCAGCGATGGGAGAAACACATACCGGGATGCCTGGGCAGCACGGTGAAGATGGACTGGCAGGTCCCCCTCGCCATCAGAAACACCCGCATAAGAAGCGTGCAATGGCTTATCTACTATCAGGCCTTACCGGTCAATACATGGCTCAGCAGGAGAAGGTCAGAAACAGCTAGAAGGGACTTCGATGACAGCTGCACAGTCTGCAATGAAGGCACCCTTGAGGATGTGCCACACTGCCTAATAAACTGCCCAAATGCACAAAGGATTTGGAGCAGAGCACGAGAGTACTGGACGACGCTAGTCGGCCCATCGTTGCCAGACAACTTGCTGTCACTCCTAACAGGTATCGCACAGCCACGTCTCTATGAAGCCTGTCATTCAACCCTCTTCAGAAGACTTCGGCCCTTCACACTGTGGATCATATGGAAGACACGATGCAAAAAACGATAGACGGCCAAAATACATCAACCCAAGAGGCCTGGGAGCATGTTGTACAACTCATACACACGGAATACCAGGCAGATTGGCATCGAGTAACCAAGAATATCAAGGACGGCCCTACAAAAAAGCAAATAATCATAGACAAATTCATCAAGTATAGACTTGGAATGGGCAAGCTCGGCACTGTGCAGGAAGATCCCCCGAGAGAGATATGGAAACGGAGGGAAGAACAGCAAGGGAGGGACCAGACAAGGAAACCAGAGTCTTTACAAACGGCACGTTCACAGAATAGCTTAGCGGACATAAGCTCAGCATAGTATGATCAAAAGAGCAGGAGGTTAAGAAAATAGAGAGTTGGCCTCTAGAACACAGGTGACAGTAGGGTTTAGGGTTTAAGGGAAGCGGCGGCTTATGCACCTCAGGATTCGATCACTTTCTTCAATAGCAAAAGAGGCCCTGCGTAGTAGAAGCTAAAAGCCTCGGTGGAGATTGACAGTGGTGTTAGTCCAGTCTCTAACCTTTCTTTTTGGAATTGTAGCATTATTAGTCTACTTTAGTTCCCGCTTTGAGCCAGGATAGCCAGGCTGAGATAGTGAAGCACGGGACACTGGTTCATTCCGGGTTGAGATGTGGAGGGATTCCCGGCCTCCTTTTGCATTAATAATAAAGCAAAGTGTTAAAAAAAAAAAAGAAAAAAAAAAGGCATTGACTTGGTAAGACTCTTAATACCATATTCACACGCCGACTTTCGAAGATGAACCTGACACTAATTACAGCTGCGCTGGGATGTATTTGACTGCAATAATGTCCAGAGGTCAGTTGAAAAAGTACTAGTGCGAGTATGCCCTAACTTTAAGGGCAGAAAGTCCAGCTCTGTGCAGCTCAGCCGTTCATCACTCGCCTCTGTTATGATTGGTTCAGTCAGCCAATCTGCAACTGCTTTGCTAAGTGCTCGTGTAAGGACAAGCATTTCCCTTGCAAGAAGACGCAAGCCCAAGAATGCCAGGCAACATACAATGCTTCTGGCCAGAGGATAGCTCTACACCATTCCACAGACTCTGCAATCCAGCATATCAACTTTCGCAGCAGGCACCGACCAAGGAGTGGTCTCTTGTCAAGTTTTTTGTCCTTTTTCCCTTTTTTTTTGTTTTCGTCCGTTTCATGCAAGCTAACATCCTGAAAGAAAAAAAAGAAAAAAGAAAAAACACTAAACAAAACATTCTGAAATCCAGCAGATCAAGTTTCGAAGCAGGCCCAGACCAAGCCGTGGTCTTTTTTGTCCATTTCGTGCGAAGTATAGGCCTCCAACACTGCTGTGGCACAGCCTCCAGATCAGCACGGAGAATCTTCACATCTGGGCATATGAGCTTTTGCTGATCACTATGCGCCACCTGAAAGCATACTCGTACTGACAAACGTACGCGTCAGACCTCCAGAATAGTCAGATTGAGTGAAACGGGCTTTTGATGCGAGTATGCCGTACCGAAGTTACCCTGCCACTGAGTCGAAGGGTCCCTCCTGGAGAGACCAGGTCAAAACAGGACCAAGCGAAAATGATGATGCCTTCGCTTAAGGCTCGCACATGGACGTAAACATGCAAACTATGCATTCGCCAGCAACATATCTATCTGGCTGCCAACACTGCTGTGGCACAGCCTCCAGATCAGCACGGAGAATCTTCGCATTTGCTGATCACTATGCACCACCTGAGAGCATACTCGTACTGACAAACGTACGCGTCAGACCTCCAGAATAGTCAGATTGAGTGAAACGGGCTTTCGATGCGAGTATGCCGTACCGAAGTTACCCTGGCACTGAGTCGAAGGGTCCCTCCTGGAGAGACCAGGTCATAAAAGGACCAAGCAAAAATGATGATGCCTTCGCGTAAGGCTTGCAGATGGACGTAAACATGCAAGCTATGCATTCGCCAACAACATATATATCTGGCTGCCAAATCGCATAGTATGCTGGTGGACAGAGCAAGCGCTTCTTTCCAGAGGCGCTCGCAACTCAAGCTAAGGGCTCTCATCGGCCGGCTTTTCTCAGGTGTCTTCTCAGCTCTATATGCTCCCACTTCATGGCTTTCGAAGTTTCAAATATTCATGAACATTGACAAAAGGAAGGGGAGCAGAGAAATGTCAGAAGGTCCATCCTTTTGGCAGATCTCAAATTCACTATTTCGGAGAAGCCCACGAAGGGAGGGAGATAGGGTAGAAAATTACTAGAAATCTACAGCCTCTGGGTGGGTGTCTCTGTTGGATTTCTTTTCCGTTTTCTTATTTGTGGATGGGGGGGGCCTGGGCGGGTTACCCCGGTCAAGGCCAACGCCTGGGTCACTCGCAACCCACCCATTGGGTGACCCAGGCCAAAGTATCACCCGCCCATCACCCACCCAGGCTCACTTCATTTCATCCGCCCATGACCCATTCAGGCTGGCTTAGACAGACCCAGACGTGACCATCGCCTTGTGGGTCGGGTGGATGCGAGTGGATGTGGGTGTGGATGTGGGCACCCGTAGCTCACCTCCAGTGACCACCCGCAAAATACTCACGCCCCCTTTCCATGTCGGTTCCATCTCCTACAAAGCCAGGGCTTTAGGTCAAACCTCTACTGTGAAGAAAATGATCAGCATTGATTCAGCAACCTATTTATATCTGACCCCCAATCTGCAGGTATGAAGCGTACTCCAAGGGCCCCCCTCCCCTGCCTGCCCCCTTCTTCTCCCCTCCCCCCCCGGGGAACTCCAAAGAAGGGACAAGAATAAATGGTGGCACTAGAAGATGGAAAAAGAGGGAGCTGTAGGTTTCACCGTCTGCGAGGACTGGCAGCTACTGAGAAAGTGGATAACAAATACAGCCCCCTCCACAAACAATGTTCCTTCTCCCAATGCCACATTCTCTCTCTCTCTCTCTCTCTCTCTCTCTCTCTCTCTCTCTCTCNCTCTCTCTCTCTCTCTCTCACACACACACACACACACACACACACACACACACACACACACACACACACTCACACACACACACACACACACACACTGGACAGAGATCCTTGTTCTTTCTAAGGGGCAAAAGAGAAGTTATCAGGGGTGTCTTCACCCAACGATTGAGACATAGCTGTGGACAATCCCAAAAATCAGTGAGGTTGAACAAAGAAACCTGAGGTTTCAGTTGTCAAATTGCAGCAATACATAGCGGTAGAGGACGGTTCTGCTCCAACTGGAACGGTGATTGGCCTAACCCCCTTGTACCGGCCATCAAGATGAGCCACGCAGAGCATCAGCATGCGAAAAAACATTTCACGGTTTTTGAGGAATGGTTGTCCAAGGAACTCGTCCAGTGGCATCCACTGTGCAGCTTCGATTTCCGAATCTTGTTTTGTTATCTCGAACGAAAGCGGCTTCAGCGCACATATCATGAAGAGATCAGATTTGCCAAAAGCCGCACTGTGCGCTTGACGAAAAGTGATAATTTCTAGAAACTCCGCGTCAATTCCTGTCTCTTCCTTGACTTCCCTGACAGCCGCTCTCCAGATATCCTCCTGCTGACTGACCAGTCCTGTCGGCAGCTTCCAGACGTTCTTCCCCCGGAGAAAACCGTACTTCTCTTGCACTGCAAGGACTTCTCTCTTGTCATTGACAACGAACGCACCGACTCCGACTTGATGCGAGGCGTTCGGAGGGAGCGTGGAGGGCGTTGGGGGTAACCACTTAGTAAGCATTACATAGTGTAGCTCTGCGTGGTGGTAAGCAAATCCTTCGGAAATGGCTAAGGGAACAAGATTAGCATTTTCCGTAGGGAGTTTTAGCCAGACACCTTTCCTCTGCTGACTTGCCCATAGTCCCAAAGAGGACCGTAGTCGTGAGAGGAAGACATCACCGTCCGCTGGCAGACATGTGGGATCAATAATAACCCCATCGTACAGATCACCCTCAAAAGCCAACAAGGATGTAGCGTCCACGCCCTCGGCCATGCCTTCTGTTGTCAATGGCGGGGTGAAGTCAGCAAGACTCACATCCTCATCCTTGTCGATAGGACATTCCTCAGGAGGAAGAGGTGCAACACCAATTCTGTCCATTCCACTTTCGCCCGACTTTGGTCTATGGGAAGCCATCATATGGGACGGTGATTTAGAAAACCTATCCGCACCAAGCAACTCCCTTGCTACCCGAAATTCGCACCCTGATGGCGCCAGTGGGGAAGAGATGTAATGCCCCAGTCTGCTCCAAGCTTGCTTATCGGTGGACTTACCCTCGAGAGGGTCGGGAAGGGAAGCGTGCCATGACGAGAACTGCCAACTTTCGACAAGCAATGATGCACAGTGAAAGGAAACCCGAGATTTATGAAGCCACTTGTCCCCTCCAGAGTGCTAAGGAGGGCATCGCATGGCGTTGAGGCAACAGATGAGAAGTATGAATGAACGGACACTTTCTGATCAGGATCCTGAAACGCAGTACAGACTTTCGATTGCCCCTCTTTTCGTCATTGGGAGATACCCTGCGAAAGAGGGTTCGCTGCAGATGCACAACTTCCCAGGCCAGCAGTGATTCTTCACGATAAACCACTCGGATAACGGGAGCGAGCACACCTGGGGTGAGAGCGCCATTTCCTAATGCGTTCCGATGCCACTCCACTGCACCCCCAGCAAGCAGACCAGCTTCTGCGGCAAGGTCCTCGTCATCATTCCGTCTACTGATCCAGAGAGCACAAAGGAGAAGATCAGCGTCGCGTTTCACAGTCACAGCTTCCTAAAGCCCATAAAGAGCTCTTGCCTCATAACACCTCGAGAGGACCTGCAAGGAAGGCACTGACGTGACCACACTCCGCCGCCACACAACCCCCCAACTCCCCTGGACTGTCATCAACCCAGGAAAAACAGTCAGGACTTAGGCAGGGGGTACTACGGGGAAGAGCTGGTGCCATACCTTGAGTCCAACCAATGAATAGCTCACACACAAAACACCACAAACCAGCCCATAAGGACATTTGCACCAAGCAAACACAAAAAATCGATATCGGCGACAGTCCTAAGATCTTTGCACCTCCTCTTTTTTTCACAGCACACTGAGCACAGCAACAAAATTGGGCAGTCACAAGCACAGAAACGCTTGCACAGCCTTCCACACTACGGTCGTTCCCACCCCCTCTGTGACGCGCCTCATCACACAACCCGGCACTTCAACCCCCAACTACCGATATCAGCCTGCCTGCTTGTCCAAGGTCGGGATTGCGACGAACCCAACACTGTAGCACATAAGCCAGACACGTATACGTCGTCCCAGCAAATCCTGTGCACCTTACTGAGCTTGATAACACTACTACTTCATAGGTCAAAAGTTCAAAACCAACCCAACTACCCATACATACATATACTCAACACCCTATCCGAATAATAGGTACCAATTTCCCAACTGGTCACTAGACTCACTAATTCATAGGTCAAGACTCAAAAGTCCTCAAGACCAAGCCAAGTACCACATTGCGTATTTGGAATTCAAAAACATACAGAGAGTAGAGAACTTGCTCCAATCAAAAAGAGGACTGACTCCAATCAAAGAAAGCTGGCTCTGGTAAAAAAGACTTGGCTCCTTCCTAAGGGGAAACTTCGCAGAAGTTGTACAAACAATAGATGTTGATCCAACAAGAGCTGCAAGAGTAAGCACAGATTGACCAAGTCCTCCTCTCTACTGTCAATCCTCCTCCTCTCCACTACCTCCACCCCTCTTCGTTCTTTCACATTTCATCAAGTGGTCGAGTAGTCCAACTAACTAAACTCCTGTCACACACGTTCCCGCACGTTCTCAGCAAATCCTCATCAATGTTGAAGCTCAAAGCCCCAACAGACATCTACATTGCTCATCCAAGTGTAGTCACACCTCCACTCTCCCATTCCCACCTACTACCACAGTCTGAGATTCTCCCCTGGTTCAAATGGGCCTGTTGCCGATGTCAGGTTGGCTAAAGCAGACACCTACCTGCCTGCCAACGTACGTCAGAATATCTCTCTTCATGTTCAACTTAAGACAGATTGATCCGCAAAAGCTTGTACGAAGACAGCTTGGCAAAAACTTTCGCTCATCTTTGCGCTCCCAAAAACATCGACAGTTTTCTTGATCGTGTGCTGGCTTTAAATAGACCTTAAGTCACTGACTCATTCCAACTGCACTCGACCAGTAAGGCTTCTGACTTGCAATGTTAGATCACTTGGCACTCAAATCGGTAACGCTTCTTAGCTGACCTGCAGTGTTAGATCGCTTGGGGCCAATCACTTGGCAGCCATTCGGAGGCGTCACTCACTGGCTTCGCTGTCCGTTCAGGCCTGTGAGTGGCACTGTAAATCACTTCGTACTACTACTGCTATGCCACTTGGTGGACATTCGTACCACGATTACCTTCTACGACCACCAGGTCCACCCTTACTTGGGGCCAATCACTTGGCAGCCATTCGGAGGCCTCACTCACTGGCTTCGTTGTGCGTTCAGGCCTGTGAGTGGCACTGTAAATCATTTCGTACTACTACTGCTACGCCACTTGGWGGACATTCGTACCGCGACTACCTTCTACGACCACCAGGTCCACCCTTACTTGGCGCCAATCACTTGGCAGCCATTCGGAGGCCTCACTCACTGGCTTCGCTGTGCGTTCAGGCCTGTGAGTGGCACTGTAAATCACTTCGTACTACTACTGCTATGCCACTTGGAGGACATTCGTACCGCGACTACCTTCTACTACCACCAGGTCCACCCTTTCTTAGTGCATTTTGTCGGATTGACAAAATCCAAAGGCCGCAGCGCAGGTTTTTCTGTCGTCCTGCAAGGGGTGCCCTCATTTGCTGGCCTCGCATCAGTCACTTAGTCAGATGGCAGTCGTATCGATCAGACAGGCTAACCCAGAGGGTCAAGTTTACCCTCCTTGCCTAGTTTCCATGAGCAAATCATGGACAATAAGAGAGAGCTCCCATAGAGAGAGAACTCCCACGCAAACCAGGCAGGAATGGAAGTTGGAGTCCCTTCGGGACGTCCGTTAAAATTGGAACGATACAGAAAATGAAGATTAGCATGGCCCCTGCACAAGTAAGGATGATAAGCATAAAAGAATGAAAGCTGGAATCATCACGGATATGAATCATACAGCGAATCTGAAACATGCAAGGCACAAAGCTGCTCTACGACTGAAGGGCTTCCAGCATAAGTCAGGGGATGCGCAACACATCCAGCCGATCATGAAGATTGGTTACTAGAGGATAAGAGTTGATTATGAGACGGGAAGATCCCCCACAGGCCCGGGAACTAGAGTGGAACGATGCAAGAGGAGAACATAAGTATAATCATCAGTGGGTGGGGAAAGTCCCACTGCGGGAGCTGAGAATCGACTCCATAGCATGGGGATTGCAAGGCAGGAGGGTCTCTCTCTCGTCTCCACTGGGATTAAACCTGTCCAACATTTCGGTGGGAGTTTCCTCTCAGTTCGCAGATGCCCGTAAGCACCGCGCGCTCCCCGACGACAGTGGCCATATCCAGATGGAGTGCAGTACTGATGAAGGATCTGCAACTGGCAAACGGTGACCTCAGAAAGCAATGGAGTATTGTGCAGGGACTCCCAAACCTCAAGCATGCCTCAATTCTATGGACGCTGGTAGGTAACCCCCTAACCCATTTGGTTTGGCTGGTAGAGGACTGGAGGTTAATTTTCTGAGCTGAACACGTTGCACCTGGCCTTTTAAGTCTACCAAACATCTTTGGTGGGACTGTCCAGCTTTCAAAAACAGCATCTGGAAGTACTGGCCCCACCATTGGCAGCAGATGGGTGGCAGAGAGGAAACCTGGGATGAGAAAGGGGTTCTGCTGGATTCACACGGGAAGGTCACACAGGCAGAAGGGCGTGGGTTCATGTGCCTCACGTGGTGAGGGGCTGCTATCCGTTCGGTAATTTGGCCGGACATAAACAGGTCCCGTTTTGACCGCAGCAGACCACTCTCAGATGTGGAGGTGAAGGTGGGTGTCAAATGAGGTATCAGACGGGCAATCCTGGTGAACAGGAAGAGGAGAGCAAAACAAGGCAAAGGGTCTAGAAGGGAGCTTTGGTGGTTCCTGAGTTTTGCGTCTGAAGCTTTCATATTAGGGTCTAGAAGGGAGCAAAGGGTCTAGAAGGGAGCTCAGGGCAACCAGTTGGCATGGGTACATCATACGAGAGACCAAATCACATCCTTGCTAGCTGGCTTTTGAAGTAGTGGGGCTTTAGGGACGTTTAGATTCGACTTTATTTACCATGACACTCTACTATTTACTAGGCACAGTGGCCTGTGTAGATGAGTGTGTCACCGTATAAGGGAACGTGCTTCTCAAGGCCGGTTAGGTCTTGTCCGCCGAAGTAGGCCCCGGTAGTTTATTTAGAGTAACCTTAGTTAAGGGGCGTACACTTGGAAGTAGGAGAGTACTAGATACTTCTACGTCTTATTCATCGTCTTGTCATCTTTCTCCTTCGCGACACTGATGTTTTCTTACTCTCCCAGTTCTTCCAAGTGTACGCCCATCGTACTTCATCCTATGTATGATCTACGACGTCCATATAACCACCTCACGGAGTATATCTTCTTGCGTCTAAACTTCTGAAGCTTTCATATTATAATTATAATACAGTATAATATTCGATTTCGAAACTGGGAAGGCTAATGCGCCTCGATCGACACCAGAGAAAGAGGTAGGCTAGCCAAGTTATATATATTATATATTATATACGTTGGATAGGAGGAACAGGATTCTCTAATTAGCCCCACTTAATTGGAGACTTAGGATTTATTTGTGATATTTCGTGGACTTCATTTTATGGTATTTATACTTCGTATTTCTGTTCTCCGTTTTTACATCTTTGGCAACAGACAACGACAACAATTCACGCTTGTTCTTCCTATGCATGCAATGATTGCCAGGCAAGGAGCTGTCCTGCACCTACTATCAGATGATAGAGCAAAAGACAACGACTACATTTCATGCTTTTTCTTCCTGTGCATGCACAATGATTGTCAGGCACGGAGCCGTCTTGCACCTACTATCAGATGATAGAGCAGGCACGCCGGTTCCGGCTGTGCTGTGGCTGTTGCACCGAGCACGGAAGAACGGCACAGACCACACATACACACGTCCAATCTCTCTCTCTCTCTCTCTCTCTCTCTCTCTCTCTCTCTCACACACACACACACACACACACACACACACACACACACACACACACACCCTGGTGGTAAGCAGCGCTGCCACGGGGCACCAAAGGTGCGCGGGAGGCAGCGGCGGTTGCTTTTGACCGACTGGCTCTCTCTCTCTCTCTCTCTCTCTCTCTCTCTCTCTCTCTCTCTCTCTCTCTCTCTCTCTCTCT